TTTTTTTTTTTTTTTTTTGTTTAACCTAAGAAAAGTGCTGTGAAGAAGAAAAAAAGATGAAAATCCTTAACAGAATTAAATGTTGGTTATTTATTTTTGCAATCTGTATTATAATACAGATGCGTACTTTGTTTTTGATTTTTAATTGATAAATCAGTATTGCAGAAAATGTAAGCTGGAAGACAATTATTTATTTATTTAATTTTTTTTTTTAAGTCCTCTTCGATTGCTCCCCTTTTCCCACAAAATGGATTTTTTGAATATTAGTTTATTGCTTTCTCAATGATTTCTTTGATTGTTTGTTTGTTTGTTTGTTTGTTGACTCTTTAATCGTTCAGTTTTTTTTTGTATTTCTCATCACTCTCAACTGTCACCATCAATTCAGGTTTTTTTTCGGTTTTTCTAAGGGTTACTTTTTTCCCTTTTGTGCTGAAGAGGGAGAAAAAGTGGTGGATGAAGTAGAAAACCGTAGGGGTTGAGAGGCATACAGCAAACAGTTCAGAATTTGCCTTTTGAAAGCAGAATGAAGATTGTTGCACTGAATGGATTCTGTTGTGTCTTGTTTCTGTTTCAACTTATTTCTTGCATTCCTCTTCTTTAACCTTCAACACAAAAAAAAGAGTAAAAAAATAAATAAATAAATAACTGGACGAATGAATGAATGAATGAATGAATGAGTTAACAAATAAATAAATGATTAAATAAATAAATGAAGAAATGGACAAACAAATAAACTGCACACCACTCCTATGCTCTTCTTCACTTTTTTCATTCCTTTTTGTTCTGGCATTGCTGCATATATTTGAAAGTTCTTTTTTTTGCTACATACTTTTTTTATAATGCCAAAACGTTGAAGGAAACTAACTTTATTTAAAACACGCAAAGGATAGGCCGAAAAATAAAGCAAAGACCGGATTAAAATCTTTGAAAGGGTGGCTAGAAAAAGATTTTTTCTGAAGAGAGGAAAAGTAGCAAAGGGAATGGTGGAAGTTTAAGCTCAACTAAGAAAGTGAAAAAACGTTAGGAAAGATGGAAAACCGTCCAAATTTGGTTATGTTATTAGCTGTGTTGCGTAAGTGTCGTTAAGAGGCATTTGAAGCTGAAGCAATAGAAGAAAGAAAAAATGATGAGGGAGAGTTGCGAAAAATATATTTATACAGTTGTTTTTCGCCGTTATCTTTGCCTTTTGTTTTTTTTTTTTGGATAATCTTTGCAGTTCCACAGTTTAACAGTTTCCTGATGAGCAAAATAAAAATAAGACCAAACTCTGTTTCTTTTGGAAAAAGAAGAGTGGAAAGTTTTTCAATTTGTTTGGTGATGTTTTCTCTCCTTTATTTTTTTTCCAGTAGACTGTTTTTGCAGTTGGCTTTTTTTTTTTTCGTCGCTTCATCTCAGTTTTCTTTTCAAATGCCTTATTTTATCTATTTTTCAAAGAGCTGGGAGAAAACTGATTTTCGACGATTAATCAAAAAGTTTTAAATTGAGTTGTTGTACAGTTTCAGTTACAGTTGTTGCTGTGTTCACTTTTTTCTTCCTTTCAGCAATTCGCTGTTTTCTCAACCAATTTTTTGTTTTGGTTTTTTTTTAAAATCTTTGCAAATAATATTCAACTTCTGAAAGTTAATATGAAAAAAAATTTCTTTTCCCTTTTTTTTTTTTTTTTAAACGAAATCATCAGTCAAAATAAATGACAGTAAGTGGCAAACAACAACAATGATGTCTTTAGCAAACTGAAAATAGTAAATTGATGACTTATTTCTTATAGGGACGTTATTTTTATTTTTCACTTTCATTTCTTCTTAAGAATAAACCCTCGTAAACCCAGCCAGATGGTAAAAGTTGTAAAAGCTGCTGCTAAACACAATTAAGCTATCAAATATCATCACCAATAGGTTATGATTGACAGGGTTTGGTTTTAACTGCGTAACGTTGAGAGGTTGCCAGTTTTTGGAAAACAGAGAGGGTTTGGGGAAAAAGGTTAAAGCGGATATCAGATAGTCATAATTTAGCTTTGTATTCAGTCATAATTATTGACATATGACTTTTCCTTTTCTTTTCTGAATTTGGTAACTATGAAGTTGAGCATATAGAATTACCTGTGAATTTTCCAGAATCATGAAATATTTTACCGGAAAACGGATCCGCCACGGAATAATTTTGCCAAAGGGAATGTTCTGTTGATTCACGGGCAATCATATTCGTCATCTACGTGGTTGGAACATTCGACGATGCAGGTTTGATCTACAGAATTTTTTTTTGCTGTTATGATTTTTCAATTTTATTTTTATTTTGGACACTAAACAGAGCAACTGAGTGTGTTGATTGGTACAACTTTCACCTACTCTAACGCATTAGATGGTAGTGGTGTTTTGAAGGGTTCTTAAAATTATGAAATGGTAAAGCTTATGCACAATTTAGAAAATCCATCCTTTTCATAGCTGTTCTTCCTATTTGTATATTTTTCCTCTTCTTTTTGTTCTCATTAAGTTTAACAACAGTTTGTATTTGGAAGTTGCCGCTTTTTTAATTACATTATCTTTTTGTCCTCTGTCCCTTTTAAGTCTTTGTTTTTACAAAAGATGAGTTAAAAAGAAATAAAATTTTTTGCGAACAGGGAAGGGCGAAAAAGTGGTATGAATTGACTATTTGGCTTTAGTAATTTGAACTTTGTGTTGTTTTTAATTTTTATTTTTCTTTTTCTGTTAAATATTAAAGATAGGCGTAATTTACATTTCAAAAGGCGTTGTTCAGTTTCAATTGGCAACATTGCAGTGAAAAAGTTTAATGGGCAATTTACGAAAATTTTGTGGGTTTTTCGCTTTTTTTTTTTTTGCTTTATGGTAGTTGTTTTGTTTATTTTATTTTTCACTTGCTGCCCTCATTTTCTCTTTTATTTTTCGTCAAAATATATGAGTTGGACGAGTTGAGGAGATGGAAGTGGAAACTCGATTACAAAGATTTTATGCATTAAGCATTAACTTTGGGGGGGGGGGTGGTTGAAGGGGGAAGAAAGAGGAGAAATATAAGCCAAAGTTTAGGGGTGAGGATGTATGAAATATATAATATGTATAATACATAAGTAGTGACTGCTCTATCCCTTACAAACAATTCTTTGAAGAGGCCTTGTTTGTCATTGTCGTTACCGTCGTCGTCGTTGATCTGTTCAAAATTTGCATTCTTGGTCTTTTTTTTCCAATTTCAATAAATTCACAGCTGTTTTAACTGCACAAAAATACACAATTTGTATTTATTTAATTCTTCATTTTTATTTTCACTTTTTTTCTTCTCTTTTGCACTGAAAAGCCGTATTAGTTTTGAAATTAATTTTTTCTCTCTTTTTCTTCGTTATTTGCCTTCACAGTTTTATTTTTGCTTTGAATAAAACGTAAGTGCGCATGAAAATAGATCAACTTATAAATTTAAGTTGCTTAAAAGCACTTATGGGCACAAAAATATTTACAGGTAAAAAGAGCTTGAAGAAACCAATTGAAAGTTAAAAAACAAAATTTATAAATCTGTTGAGAGATGATGACTTACAGAGTTTGTTGATAAGAAGGGTGAAGGAGGACGATGATGAAAGAGTTTCGTAAAAATTTTTTGTTCTTGACTTTCAGAAAACTAAAGTTGAAAGAGAAATGGAGGAA